CACTTAACAGCAAGGGAAGCTGGGAAATGTAGTGGAACTGTGTGCCCAGGAAGAGAACACCTAGGTGAACAGCCACCCCTACCTATGCACATATTTTTAAAAATTAAAAAAATAGGCTGGCAACGGTGGCTCAAGCCTGTAATTCCAGCACTTTGGGAGGCTAAGGCAGGCAGATCATGAGGTCAAGAGATCGGGACCATCCTGGCCAACATGGTGAAACCCCATCTCTACTAAAAATACAAAAATTAACTGCGTGTGATGGTGGGCACCTGTAATCCCAGCTTCTCAGGAGGTTCAGGCAGGAGAATCACTTGAACCTGGGAGGGGGGATGGAGGTTGCAGTGAGCCAAGATCGTGCCACTGTACTCCAGCCTGGTGACTGAGTGAGACTCTGTCTCAAAAAATTTTTTTTCAAATAAAATATAAGGAACTGTAATGTAAAGGAGAAATCAAAGGAAACTAATTATAGTAAAGTAATACATCTTCCAATAATATGTATTTCCACATGCATTTCTAGCTACATGAGAATAATGAAAGAGGTGCTTGCCCCTCAATTTGGAGTTACCACGAATGTGATGGGTACCAGCGCTGGGGTGTGCTGAGGTGCTCAGACACCTTCAGTGACTTTAATAAGACTTAGCAATTTCTTTATGATTATTTGTAAAAACAGAGTTAAAGTCTAGGTTCAAAGCATTTTATTTACTTTTTTTTTTGAGATGAAGTCTCACTCTTGTCCCCCAGGCTGGAGTGCAATGGCGTGATCTTGGCTCACTGCAACTTCCGCATCCTGGGTTCAGGCGATTCTCCCGCCTCAGATGCGCCTGCCGCCACACCTGGCTAATTTTTGTATTTTCAGTAGAGAAGGAGTTTCACCATGTTGACCAGCCTGGTCTTGAACTCCTGACTTCAGGTGATCCACCTGCCTCGGCCTCCCAAAGTGCTGGGATTGCAGGCTTGAGCCGCGGAGCCCAGCCCAGAGCATTTTAAATTGATTTTTTCAGTTAAATTAAGCCTCTGGTAAGACACTTGGAAATCCCGTAGCGTATGGGGACAATTCTTAGTTTTGTTATGTAGAATGGGTCATTCAGTATCCCAGGCCCTGAGATTTCCAGAGTGCCTCCCAGGCAATGGTTCTGCCATTTCCCCAGTTAAAACCTTGTGGGGAGGAGACAGGGAAAATAGGTACTGGGGGTCAAAGAGCAGCAGGAAGACGCCCTGCACTCTTCCCCATCACTGGTCTTTGCCACCTTCCTGTAGGATTTCCCGTATTCTCAGTTCACCTTTGTACGAAGCCGTCGTACCCGCTATCTCCAGGGCTCTTTCAGCAATCACCCATGCACCCCAAGGACTTAATGTTTTCTGCACTAAAACTAGTTGTCTTTCACTTAATGAAAAAGTACAGAATCATACTAGGAGGATTACAGTTTATTTAAGTTACCATTTTACTTAGTACCAAATAATTGGGATTTTTGTATTCCTTGAATGGGACTTCGGAATAATCCTTCCTTCTTTCCATTGCATTACCATGTTTCTTCAGAAGGTGGCACTAGTTGCCATGTTGTGTGTTGCTCCATAGTTGTAAGTCCAGCTCTGTTTCCTGGATGCTTCTGCCTCTTAGGACTAATATTCAACAGTGGGTGGGCGTCCACAGTTAACCTTAGGGCCTCTCTGCTGTTCAGTATTGGTAGTAGCCAAGATAGAAGAAAACTTCAGTTTTTTTTCATTTAGGTGGGGATAGCTTTAATATAGTCAACTATAAAAAGGTCAGATTGGCCGGGCACAGTGGTTCACGCCTGTAATCCCAGCACTTTGGGAGGCTGAGATGGACAAATCACTTGAGTTCAGGAGTTCAAGGCCAGCCTGGCCAACATGGTGAAACCCTGTCTTTACTAAAAATGGCGTGGTGGCATGTGCCTGTAATACCGGCTACTCAGGAGGCTGAGGCAGGAGAATCGCTTGAACCCGGGAGGCGGAGGTTGCAGTGAGTGGAGATCGTGCCACTGTGCCCTAGCCTGGGAGACAGAGCGAGACTCCATCTCATAAAAAATAAGGCTGGGCATGATGGCTCACACCTGTAATCCCAGCACTTTGGGAGGCAAAGGTGGGCAGATCACTTGAGGTCAGGAGTTTGAGACCAGCCTGGCCAAGACGGTGAAACTCCATCTCTACTAAAAACACAAAAATTAGCCTGGCATGGTGGCGCGTGCCTATAATCCCAGCTACTCAGGAGGTTGAGGTAGAGAATCATTTGAACCCCGGAGGCGGAGGTTGCAGTGAGCCGAGATCACGCCACTTTACTCCAGCCTGGGCAAGAGAGCAAGACTCCGCCTCAAAATAATAATAATAAAAGGTAAGATTAAATGACATAATTACATTCTAATTAATGTTTTAGGCTGTTTCAGTTCCTTGAAATGTCTTAGCTGTTCCCTCAGCAGATGTTGATTACACAATTATTACAGTGTCATAATACGTCTAAATTTGGCTTTCTTTTTTTTTTTTTTTTCTTTTTTTCAACCCCCCACCCCCTTAGCTTTCTTAAAGACACAAATTATCTGAATTCACATTTCTCTGAAACTTCCCATGGTTGTGAAACTGCAGAGAGGAATAATATTATTAGACAAAAGCTTTTAATATCCTCATCAGTCGCTGTAATGAGGTCGCCCAATATACCTGTCTTGATAAACATCTCATCTGTGGGTATCATTTTTGGAAGTTTAGAGTAAACCTATAGGGTGAATAAAGACGTGCCTCCTGGGGAGGGATGACTGACCATCCAGACAAATCTCACACGGTTTCATCCCACAGCAGTTGGTCTCTGAGCACCTAAGACGCGTATTAACAACGCACAAGAGACTTGTGCAGAAAGCCCACGGTGCTAACTTCTTCTTTACATAATACACTTTTGGTTGCTCAATAACATATTCCTTTTCCTGAAATAAATTTACAAGGCAAATCAAATTCTAAACAGAAGATTCTTACCAGGCTTGGAGGCAGCACAAGAGAGCTGGCTGGCTGTTCTTCCAGTGGTGTCTTCAGATAGACTGGTGACGTGGATTGGATTCTCAGGATGGGCTGGCTCTCTCCCCTGAGGATGGCAGACAGCATTGGCTGTACACTGCCCGCCTCTGCTTCTCCTCTTCTGTGGTTTCTTCATTGACCACACATCCTCATTCATCATACAATCTTCACTAATCACACCCCACACTGATATGTGTTTCTTAGATATGTTAAAGGCATTCAGTCATTTGTAGCTGGCCTTGAGAGCCATTATTCTTCAAGTGATTTCTCTTCGAGGACTTGGTAGGTGCATGCAGCTGAAGTTCCTATACCATTGGCTCAGGCAGAGTTTCCTAAACCCTCTCAATTCTCTGTGCCTTAGTAGCTCAGTCTTGTCTTCATGGCCCTCCTAGGCCAAAAGCAATAGCTAACATTTCACACAACTTAACTTGCATCTATGTTCAAACAACTTAGTAGCTGTTTGAAAAAGTAATACATATACATTAAAATATTATTTTTTTCTCTCAATTTTGTTCTTAAATAACTACAACTATTTTAAATCTTGCAATCAGACTAGATATCACCACCTTTATGTCTTGTTCCACGTTGATTTTCATATTGTTTTTGCTTTTTCTTTCAGCAAACACCAAATCCCCAGCTCTATAAAGATGCAGCACCATTATATAACATATAATGCAATTTAATGTTGAAATCGGGAAATACCGGGGCTGGGCACGGTGGCTCACGCCTGTAATCCCAGCACTTTGGGAGGTCGAGGCAGGCGGGTCATCTAAGGTGGGAGTTCAAGACCAGCCTGGCCAACATGGCGAAAACCTGTGTCTACTAAAATACAAAAATTAGCTAGATGTGGTGGTGCATGCCTGTAGTCCCAGCTGCTTGGGAGGCTGAGGCAGGAGAATTGCTTGAACTTGGGAGGCAGAGGTTGCAGTGAGCTGAGATTGGGTCACTGTACTCTAGCCTGGGCAACAGAGTGAGATTCTGTCTCAAAAAAAAGAAATTGGGAATTACCTCAAGCCAGTAGTAGTACATATGGTATCTGACAGATGTCAACTATCACTGTATTTCCCTCAAAAATTAAAAATATTCACAGTGCTCCCATGAGTTTACGGTGATTCCCGGGGTACCTGTGACACAGTTTGGGGACTGTGGGGCTGGAACTTAGTCAAATGGCTACACATCTGCCAGAGGACTGGGAAATAGAACCTACAGAATTTGGTGGCCTCTGCTCTGAATTAAATGTTACTTTTTATATTTTTACTTTCACAGGAGTATCTTAAATTGCTATTTATGAATTCTTGAAGAGAAGCTGATGATTGCTTCCCTGTAATAGTAATTATTGTATCATGGTCACCATTTTCTGAGCAGTTTTGTATAATAAGCACTCTGCTAAGGTGCTTCTCCTTTGTCCCATCGCTTAATCCTCACATATATTTATTCCTATATAATACAGTGGTAGGAAATATATATATATATATGAAAGAAACGCATTAAGTATCTTTCCCAAAATCACATAGCAATTAAGTGGCAAAGCGGATTTGAACCAGGCTGTTTGATTTGAGCATTAACTCTTTCACCACCATGCAGTATTACTTTTGACATTTACTGACTGCAAAAATGAAGAGCCATATTACATGTTTGTGTTGGCATTTTTACTGTTCTTCCTATGCTAAATAATTAAATCAGTGTTACCTTTTACACAGTAACTGTCTTCAAAGGATTCAAAGATTGAATTCTTACAATGCCCCAGAGCCAGCATGAATGAGAAGAGAGACTTGCTCAAAATAACTCGATTAACTTCTCCCAAATTCTGGTCTCCGATAATATAGGTAGGAAAAGAGGTGACCGATACGCTTTCACCCAGCTTCCCTGCAGCGGTGAGACACGACAGCATTTTGCTAAGACCTTGACCACATGTTTTTGCTGCAGGAGGGTGAGACACGACAGCATTTTGCTCACATCTTGACCACCTGTTTTCGTTGCAGGAGGCCGAGGGGAGGACGGCGCCCCCATCATCACGTTCCCTGAGTTTTCAGGGTTCAGACACATCCCAGATGAAGACTTCCTGAATGTCATGACCTACCTGACCAGCATCCCCAGGTGAGCTGAGCGCAGTGTTCGCCGCCGCCTCAGGCACTGGCTGTATTCCACACTTCCCATGCGACAGGGCTGGGTTGAGACAGACTTCCATGCACACAGCTTGCCCTGGTGTGTATAATGACTCAGCTGGCTTCTGTCACCTGTCAGTCACGAACAGGGATGTGGGAAGGGCCTGGAAAACAATGAAAAACAGTCTCCGTTTTGACTATGTCATGCACACAGGAGGGACAGAATAAACACTGCCGAGTGGAGGGAAAGCTGATGGAGCAGCTGTGCTGCCTTTTTCCTTCGCTATTGCGTTTTGGTTTTTATTTTTGGGATGGAGTCTTGCTCTGTTGCCCAGGCTGCAGTGCAGTGGCACGGTCTTGGCTCACTGCAACCTTCGCCTCCTGGGTTCAAGCAATTTCCAGCTAAATTTTGTTTTTGTTTTTGTTTAGTAGAGATGGGGTTTCACCATGTTGGCCAGGCTGGTCTCGAACTCCTGACCTCAAGTGATCCGCCTGTCTCAGCCTCCCAAAGTGTTAGGATTACAGGCCTGAGCCACCACAGCCAGCCTATAGGCTCCTGCTTTACCTGCAAGTTATTCTGGCTTGCTGGGTTGTGTTGTCTAGCACACATGACCCTTGTTTAAGGAGTCCCAATTGTGTCAGGCATCATTTATCTCTCCTAAATAAGAAAATTAGGGGCAGATTTTGTCGTTGTCATTGTCAGATGGAGAAACTAAGGCACAGAGCAAGGACTCTGCAAGGCCGGGGAGACAGCTGTGCTGGTGGCTGAGCCCATGATAGAAATGCTTTCCGGCATCTGCTCCTTCCACCCCTCCAGCCTCACCTCTTTATGCCGCTGGAGTCAGGACACGCCCAGGTCTTCAGCGGGACAGACTGTGGGCAGAGTCCACACTGGTCACCACATTTCACAGACAGGGGCAGAGTGAGGTCCAAACCCCGTCCTCAGGCAGTGCTGTGTCCACTCTCTAGCAGAGAAGATTCGGTTGGGAAAGGCTTTTCCTGCATGGGTTTGCATTGCCGATGACCCCCCGCCCCGACTGTGGTGTGGTTTAGAATGCACACAGTGGCCAGGCGTCTGGCACTTTGTCCGCTTTCCATCTGCCTTATGTGATTTAGAGGTAAACAGCAGCTCTGTGGCTGGGAGGCCACCTGGAGCCTGATACCACATGTGGGGTTAGGAAGTTGATTGCTTGAGCCAAACCCACTTGAAAAATAAGTTTTTTCTTTTACACCTTTTTCTTTCATCCATCTTATTTCTTCAGAGAGGGTTTTGGATTTATTTTTAATGCATTTCTTCAAAATAAGGACTTAAAAAAATTTCACCAATTTCCCCCTGTCCCCTCCCTGCCACCACCATATGACATGCATCAATGTGGCTTTGAGAATGTGGGACTCCTTTATTGCTGTGAGGGAGACAGCGTACCTGCCTCGTGGCTTTGCTCGGGTGTTTCTCTGTGGGACACCTCTGTCCTCTTCTAGGCCTGATTCCTACACATTCATCAGCCCTCAGCTCTGACCTCACCTCTGATGAAACCTTCCCTCACCCCAGTTCTGCTTTCAAAGAATCTTTTTTCCATTTCCACAAAACCCCAAGCTTTGCCTTTGTCTATGGAAATAATTTGTCTATGGAAATTATTTCTGCCTCCCCCATTAGACTGTGAACTTCTTAAGAGGGCGCTTTTCTTTTCTTTTTCTTTTTAAAACTCTCCAGCCCTAGCACAGTGCCCAGCTCATGGTTGGTTTTCAAAGTAATGTTGGTGGAGTTTCCAGTTTTGATAATGATTCCTTCCAAACAGTATTTGTTGTAGGGTGATGAAGGGGTTAAAATATGCCATTCTGTACTATACAACCATAAAAAAGAATGAGTTCATGTCCTTTGCAGGGACATGGATGAAGCCAGAAACCATCATCCTCAGTGAACTAACACAGGAGCAGAAAACCAAACACCACATGTTCTCACTCATAAGTGGGAATTGAACCATGAGAACTCATGGACACAGGGAGGGGAACATCACACACCAGGGCCTGTCCAGGGGTGCGGGGCAAGGGGAGGGAGAGCATTAGGACAAATGCCTAATGCATGTTGGGGTTAAAACCTAGGTGACGGGTTGATAGATGCAGCAAACCACTGCAGCATGTGTATACATTAGGTAACACACCTGCACGTTCTGCACATGTATCCCAGAACTTAAAGTAATATTTTAAAAAATGCCATTCTGGCATATTGACTATTTAAGTTAAAAGCACTTGAAACACAGGAGGTACAAGACGATCACTTTGACCTTTGTGCTGTTTCTTAAGAGCAGAAGATGGAATTCCCATGTGAAAGCCACTCTTGGCACTAGAAGGAAAGGTAACGTCCTTATCTTCGAAGAGAAGCTGAAATAGAATATTGCACAGACCTTGTTAGAAACTTATTTTTTAAGCTTCCCCACATAATTTAGTCACATGTTCATAGTTTACTATTCTTTGTTAAATCCAATATATAAGTAACTGACCCTCACTGATTCTTTGGGTCTTCATTTCTTTATGAGGGTTCTTGTGCCATGTAAAACATTTATGAATGCATTTCAGTGCTTTTCCATGCCAATCTGTGTTTTGTCAGTTGAAATCTTGGACCCAACCAGGACCCTAAGACAGTAGAGGTGAAGGTTTTCCACTCCTACAGTGAGAAGAGGGGCCCTGACGGAGAGGGGAACCCCAGCTCTTCATTCCTGCCTTTATCAGCCTGGGTTTTAAGAAGTCGAACTTGAACTCCCTCTTCAGCCCAGTGGCATTTTAGGAAAATGACCCCTCAGTTTAGCAACTTCTTCTTCTGTGGGAGCGGCAGGGAAGAGGGTGAACCAGGGACACAGAGAATAGGTGGAAGTGTCCCTGTCCCCATTCTCCTTATATTTGCTTTAAGTTCAATGTCTAGTTTTACTTAATCCCCAGGGATGCAGTCAAATGCTAAGTTAAATGGAGGATTTTCATCTTGCATTTGCAGCCTTTTCCAAATACACTGAAGACAGCTCCGGGAGCACTCCCCCCTGCCGTCCCCCCGTCCCCCCGACCATGTGGCGAGAAGCAGGGAGGGGCAGCACCCCTGTCTCACAGGCGGAGGCCAGGAGAGCAAACAGGGGCTACTGTTTTGGATTTCTTTGTTCCAGCGTAGGCTCCTTGTACAATCGCTGGGGACCTGGGGAGTGTCTTCCTTTCCTGGAATGCTGTTTGTCTCCTGGAAAGAGCGGCTGTCTGGCCAGTTGCTCCCCTCTCTTCGGGTTTTTGCTCACACTGCTTGCTGCTCCTCCCCTTGTTCCTTTCCACAAAAAGTGGAGACAAAGGGTGGGGGAACTTGACCTGGACCTCGATGTCGAATTTCCATTTCAGAATCCAAAGAATGAAACCACCCTTGTTTGTTTTGTGACTCCTGTTTATCACGATTTGCATCTTTTTGTATGTCATGTGATTATCCGGGACCAGAGTCCTTCCAAGTTGCAAAGTGTTTTGTTTTGTTTTTTGAGACAGAGTTTGCTCTTGTTTCCCAGGCTGGAGTGGCACAATCTCAGCTCACCACAATCTCTGCCTCCTGGGTTGAAGCGATTCTCCTGCCTCAGCCTCCTGAGTAGCTGGGATTACAGGCATGCACCACCATGCTCAGGTAATTTTGTATTTTTAATAGAGATGGGGTTTCTCCATGTTGGTCAGGCTGGTCTCAAACTCCCGACCTCAGGTGATCCTCCTGTCTCGGCCTCCCAAAGTGCTGGGATTACAGGCGTGAACCACTGCACCCAGCCCTGCAGAATGTTTTTCAGACAGGTGGCAGAGGGCTCATGGTTGAAATAAAAGAGAATTGATCCACTAGAAGAGGAAAATGGCAGGATGCTTGGGTTAGGGAAAGTTATCACTGTGCCTGAAATTAATTAGGATCTCTCTCGTTGTGAGTGGGTTTGGCAGGTGCAGAAAGGCTTCCCAGAGTAACTCGCTGTTCAGCAGACCTCTCTGAGAGCCCGCAGCATTAGGACACTGTATACAATGCTGTAAGGGACTGAAAACCTCAAGACAATGTCTCAGACTGCAGGAAACTCATCACGTGACTCTGTTATCAATGTTCTGTGAAATGTGTAAATAAAGTGCTATAGGAGCTCAGAAGACAAAGTCACGTCGGACGGGGAAAAAAAGGAAAACTTCAGTAATAAAATTGTTACCAGGAAAAGGGGGTTTCAATCCAGACCGTAAGAGAAGGTTCTTGGATCTTGTGTGGGAAAGAAGTCGAGTCACAAAATGCAGTGAAAGAAGCAAGCTTATTAGAGGCTATTCTGTTACAGAGTCGGGCGCCCTCAGAAAGCAAGAAGAGGAATGTATCCTCTTTAAGTTTTTCTTTTCTTTTTTTGAGGCGGAGTCTCGCACTGTCACCCAGGCTGGAGTGCAATGCCGAGATCTCGGCTCGCCGCAACCTCTGCCCCCCTAACCCGGATTCAAGCGATTTTCCTGCTTCAGCCTCCCAAGTAGCTGAGATTACAGGCATCCGCCACCACTCCTGGCTAATATTTTGTATTTTTAGTAGAAACGGGGTTTCACTATGTTGGCCAGGCTTGTCTTGAACTCCTGACTTTGTGATCTGCCCGCCTCAGCCTCCCAAAGTGCTGGGATTACAGGCGTGAGCCACTGCGCCTGGTTCTCTTTAAGTTTTTCTTATATAGGAGTCTTGTCTATATAAAGATTAAACTAAGCTGCGCCTATGTGCAGATGGCGGGACAGTGTGTAACTGGGTATCCCAGGTTCTTGGCCTCTCCTGCTCTAGGAGTGGGGGAAGAGGCCCTGGAGGTGCGGTGGGCTTCTTCAAGTAAATATTGGACCCAGAGAGTTTTGCAGAAAGCAATTTATTAGGCAGAGAGAGAGAGAGAACTAGCGAGCTCCCATGGTGTCGTGGGAGGGGATCTGGAGATGGAGTCCGCACGCGTGAGGGGAAGGGGGACTTTTAATATGGGAGTTACTCACGCCCCATTCAAG